TTTTGTATGTACAGGTATATTATGTGCAAATTGGAATGTAGACTGAGTATGTGTGTTAGATAAATAAGTGTATGAGTGAATAAGTAGTGTGTGTTCCACAGTTATTGTTAAGTGTTCATGAGATGGATGGCCTGAGGGAAGAAACTGTTCCTGTGTCTGGCCGTTCTGGTGCTCAGAGCTCTGTAGCGTTGACCAGATGGCAACAGTTCAAAGAGGGTGTGTGCTGGATGTGAGGGGTCCAGAGTGATTCTGCCAGCCCTTTTGCTCACTCTGGATAAGTACAGTTCTTGGAGAGAAGGGAGGGTTGTACCAGTGATTCGCTCAGCAGTCCGGACAATCCGCTGTAGTCTTCTAAGGTCAGTTTTGGTAGCTGAGCTGAACCAGACAGTTATTGAAGTGCAGAGGATGGATTCTATGATGGCGGAGTAGAACTGTTTCAGCAGCTCCTGTGGCAGGTTGAATTTCCTTAGCTGGCGAAGGAAGTACAACCTCTGCTGGGCCTTTTTAACAGTGGAGTCAATGTGAGTGTCCCACTTCAGGTCCTGAGAGATGGTGGTGCCCAGGAATCTGAATGACTCCACTGCAGCCACAGTGCTGTCCATGATTGTGAGTGGGGGGAGTGCAGGGTGGTTTCTCCTTTAGTCCACGATCATCTCCACTGTTTTGAGGGTGTTCAGCTCCAGGTTGTTAAGACTGCACCAGACAGCCAGCTCTTTAACCTCCTGTCTGTAAGCAGACTCGTCTCCATCCTTGATGAGACCGATGACTGTAGTGTCATCTGCAAACTTCAGGAGCTTGACAGAGGGGTCTTTAGAGGTGCAGTCGTTGCTGTAGAGGGAGAAGAGCAGTGTGGAGAGGACGCAACCCTGAGGGGCGCCAGTGCTGGTGGTGCGGCTGTTGTATGTGAATTTACCAATTCTCACTAGCTGTTGCCTATCTGTCAGAAAGCTGGTGATCCATTGACAGATAGAGCTAGGGACAGAGAGCTGGGTTAGTTTGGTCTGGAGGAGTGTTGGGATGATGGTGTTGAAAGCGGAGCTAAAGTCCACAAACAGGATCCTCACATAAGTCCCTGTTTTGTCCAGATGTTGCAGGATGAAGTGCAGTCCCATGTTGACTGCATCATCCACGGACCTGTTTGCTCGGTAAGCAAACTGCAGGGGGTCTAGTAAGGGTCCAGTAATGTCCTTCAGATAAGCCAACACCAACCTCTCAAATGTCTTCATGACCACAGACGTTAGGGCCACAGGTCTGTAGTCATTAAGTCCTGTTATCTTGGGTTTCTTTGGGACAGGGATGCTGGTGGAGCGTTTGAAGCAGGCAGGGACTTTGCACAGCTCCAGTGATCTGTTGAAGATCTGTGAGAAGATGGGGGCCAGCTGGTCAGCGCAGGTTTTCAGACAGGCTGGTGTCACACCGTCTGGGCCTGGTGCTTTTCTTCTCTTGTTCTTTCTGAAGACCTGGCGCACATCATCCTCACTGATCTGAAACGTAGGAGTGGGGGAGAGGGGGGTTGCAGGAGGTGTTGATGGTTGTGTGGAGAGATGTTCAGAGCGGGTGTGGGGTGTTAGACTGGGAGTTTGAAATCTACAGTAAAACCTCATTCAGGTCTTCAGCAAGTTGTTGATTGGCCTCAGTGCTGGGGGATGGTGTCTTGTAGTTGGTGATGTCCTTCAGGCCTTTCCACACTGATGCAGGCTCATTCGCAGAAAACTGGTGTTCTAGTTTTTTAGCGTAGGAAAACTGGTGTTGTAGCTTATTCTTATTCAGTGTGTTTCTGGCCTGATTGTACAATACTCTGTCCCCCCTTTTGTAGGCGTCCTCTTTGGCCTGACGAAGTTTTGCTGTAAACCATGGCTTATCATTGTTGAATGTTAAATTAGTCCTGGTAGGGATGCACATGTCTTCACAGAAACTGATAAATGATGTTACAGATTCCGTGAGCTTGTCCAGATCATTGGTGGCAGCTTAAAAAACACTCCAATCAGTGCAGTCGAAGCAGGCTTGTAATGCCCGCTCTGTTTCGTTGGTCCATCTCTTTTTTTAGACTTTACTACAGGTTTAGCAGATTTAAGTTTTTGCCTGTAAGTCGCATAAGATGAACCAGGCAGTGGTCAGAGAGTCCTACAGCTGCTCTGGGGACGGAGCGATATGCATCCTTTATTGTGGAGTAACAATGGTCCAGTATATTACTGTCTCTGGTGGGACGTGTAACATGCTGTCTGTATTTTGGCAGTTCACAGGAAAGATATGCTTTATTAAAGTCCCCAAGAATGATTAAAAGAGTCCGGGTGTTGTTGCTCTGTGTCTGTGATCTGATCAGCGAGTTTCTGTAAAGCTGAGCTCACGTGCGCTTGCGGTGGAATGTAAACACTCACGAGAATGAACGAGTGAAACTCCCATGGCGAATAGAATGGCTTACAGTTAATGAAAAGCGCTTCTAGATCGGAACAGCACATCTTCTTTAACACGGTTACATCTGTACACCACCTTTCATTGATGTTGAAACATGTCCCGCCGCCACGCGATTTCCCCGTTGATTCTGCATCGCGGTCCGCTCTGAACAGCTGGAAGCTCGGCAGATTTAACACGCTGTCCGGTTTCCGTGAAACACAGAGCAGCAGAATGTGAAAAGTCCTTATTTGTATGGGAGAGCAGAAGAAGTTTGTCCGTTTTGTTGGGTAGAGGCAGAGATTCGCCAGATGAATGCTAGGCAGCACCGTTTGAAATCCACACTGTCTGAGCTTCACGAGCGTGCCAGCTTGCTTCCCACGTCTGCGCGTCCTGAAGCGTTTGATCAGCGCCGCTGCTCCACCAAATACAACGTTCAGCAACACGTCCGAATAAATGAAATCTGGTAGAAGATTGTGTGGTGTGTACTGCCGAATGTTCAGCAGTTTATCCCTGGTAAACTGATTGTGTTTGAGAAACAAAAAACAGGAAAAACTAACAAAAACTGGAGAGCCAATCACTGAGGTGGCCATCTGCGGTGCCATCTTGGATTGATTCTTCAACATGTCAGGGAAAAAAAAGAAAAAAAACTGAATCACTGAGCTGGAAAAATAATCACCCGCTCCTAAAAATGACTTGTAAACTCAATCAGGTGTAGCTAATCACCTTCTCAATGGCACACAAAGCCATTTGACTTTCAGCTGTGATCAGCTGTGCTCATTTTGAATAGCTCAGCATGAAAAGAGCTTTCCTGGAGAATTTCAGTCCTTGGTAGTGCAAGTGAAGCAAACAATCAACTATGATGTCGCTCCAAACTGGGTGAAAGAGCTAGAAGGAAACTGATCAGAGAGGCTACCAAGAGGCCTACAGCAACTTTTTGCTGTAGCATTTGCAGGAATTTATGACAAAGAGTGGTCATTGTGTGCATGTGACAACAATATTTCAAATTCTCCACAAATCTGGCTTGTATGGGAGTGTTACAAGAAAAAAGCCACTCCTCAAGAAAGGCCACATGCTGTCAGATTGAGCTTTGCCAAAACGCACCTTGAAGATTCTGAGGCATTTTAGACTAAAATTTGAATTATTTGGCCTCAACACCAAACGATATGTCTGGCGGAAATCCAATGCAGCTCACCATTCACATAACACCATTGCTACAGTAAAGCATGGAGGTGGTGATATCCTGTTATGGAGCATTTCTCTGCAGCAACGACTGGAGCACTTGTCAGGATAGAAGGAAAAATGGCAAAATACCATCAATTTCTTGAGGAAAATCGTCTGTCCTCTGCCAGAAAATTGTCAATGGGAAGGTTTACCTTCCAACATAACAATGACCCAAAGCACACAGCAAAACTGAGCACACAGTGGTTAAAGGAGAAAAAGGTGAATGTCCTTGCATGGCCTAGTCAGAGCCCAGACTTAAACCCCAATGAAAATATGTGGAATGACTTGAAGACTGCAGTCCACAAACGGTTACAAAATAAGCAAATTTAACTGAACTTGAGCAGTTCTGCAAAGAGTGGTCAAATATTGCAAAGTCTAGATGTACAAAGTTAGTAGAGACCGAGACATATCCCAAGAGATTAAAGGCTGTAATTAAATCAAAAGATTAAATTTTTTTTGTTTGTTTGTTTGTTTGTTTGTTTTTTTCTGACATGTATTATATCTTTCACTTGGATGTTATAAGTTGCATTGAGTAAATACAGCTAGATAAAACAAAACCTGTCCGTCTTCATTTCAGGCTGCAAAGCAACAAAATGTGATTATTTTAAAGGGGTGTGATTCTTTTCTATACCCACTGTAGTTTGTTTCCTTTTTTCATTGTTTTGCTTTTTGTTTTGTTGCTTTGTTCTTTGTTTATTTTTCTTGTTTTGCTTATTTAGATTTTTTTTTTTTTGGTTTGTTTACTTAGCTTGTTTTGGTTCCCTTTTTTGCTTTTGGTCTATCGGGTCTTTGAATGACATACATTTTTAGCTTCTCTCTGACTCTTAAAATTTAACAATCGTTTTGATCCTTTAACTTCAAGACTTCAGTAGTTAAATGAAGTGTGCTATGATTGACTTAACTTTTCCACATGTTCCATGTGTTTTTTAGGAGTGTCTAAACCCCTGCTGTAACGCTACAACCTGCTCTCTCAAGGGAGATGCCGTGTGTGCCCATGGACAGTGCTGTGAAGACTGCCAGGTACTTTTGTAAATCTGTCCCATCCCTCTTTCCTCCTCATTCATTCTTTCTCTGTGTGTAAAATAATGGCGTGGAAATCACATTCTCCTTGCCCCATTAATAAGTGCAACATGAACCGACATTTGCGCTTCAAACATAGGCACTAATTTTCCTCTCAGGCCTCCAGACACATAAATCAGAGCGCTCAGCTCACTTACTTACTGAGGAAAGAAGCCAGACCAGGGCCCTTCGGAACAGACCGCAGAACAGGGATACATGTTCACACAGACTTTACAACAAACTACAACAGGCTTTCAACATAATGCTTCATTAAATGGAAATTGCAACTAAAAGAATTTAATCTTGACACTTTTTGGACTATATTTCGTTTCTTAGTGCAACGTAAAGGAATAGTTTTTGGAGAACTTTTCCATGAATATTACTTGGTAGAAACAACTGAACAACTGACTATTGTACCCAATAGCCTTTGTAATTCATGCAAAGCTTGTTTCTGCATGACTTTGAATTTATCCCATAGTGCCTGCATCGGAGTTGAGTATATATTTCTCTTTGCTTCATTTTGAAAGAAATCCCCTTTAGTTGACTGTGCACTTTAAGTTTGCTCTATTTGTGTCTGAAGCCTTTTGTTCTTGTGTGTCTGTGCAGTTAAAACCAGCTGGGACTCCTTGTAGAGAGTCCAGTAACTCCTGTGACTTACCTGAGTTTTGCACCGGATCAAACCCCCACTGCCCTGCCAATGTGTACCTGCAAGATGGACTTGTGTGCCACAATATGGATGGTTACTGTTACAACGGCATCTGTCAGACTCATGAGCAGCAATGCATCACTCTGTGGGGACCAGGTTGGTATGTGGATAGCTGCAGGGTTCCTGGGCTTATTTTGTTGACCAAAAATTTATCGTAGGGTTCTGCAGATATACATTTTATTAATCGTACATTTTTGACACTGTAATTCTATATGTAACCATTGTCGAGCCAGATTTTCCCATTCAATCCTGCATGCATTCATACGGCGAGCTCAAGCAATATGAAAGCTCACACTGATTGCTGTTATTTATTCCATATGTCTGTTCATACTACCTTCCAAAAGGATTCAGGCCACAGTCTGACATATGATATCCTTTCATCTGTTTTTGATTTATATACAAGCTAAAACAAGATGGAAGGATTGTACAGTGTCATATTTCCATCTCTGACAGTGGGCATATGCTGTTTTATTTTCATTCCTTTTCGTTTTCTAGGAGCGAAACCTGCCCCGGGAATCTGTTTTGAAAGAGTAAACTCTGCAGGTGATCCCTATGGAAATTGTGGAAAAGACTCCAAAGGTTCCTTTGCTAAATGTCAAGCAAGGTACAGGCAGGGCATGATACTACAGCTCTTTGCACTTTAACCTTTTACTTAAAGTACAATTACATTCATTTGTAAAATTTGCTTCCATTTTACATTTTATTATATTATTACTTTTCTATTTTGCTTTCATTTAATTTTGTTTTATTTTGTTTGCTTCATATGCTTTGCTTTTTGTTTTGTTCTTGTTGTTTTGTTTGCTTGATTTGACACTTTTTGTTTAGTTTTCTTGTTCTGTTTTGTTCTGCTTCATTTAATTTTGTTTTATTTTGCTTTGCTCATTTCTTTTGTTTCCCTTTGCTTTGCCTTCTGTTTTGCTTGTTTTCCTCTTTGATATAATATTGTTCTGTTCCCTGTCGATATTTCACTCGTACTGCGTCGCTAAGACGCTATGAGGAAAACTACTTTTCTCCGGTGACTGAATCCTTTTTTTAATAACGCAGTGTAACTGCACTGCCATTGGTTCGTGCAGTGATATAAAAATCTAACCAATGGCTCGGTAGCGTAGCTGCACAAGCCTATGGCGATGAAGCCTGCCAGAATGGGCGGGACCATCTGGCTATATAAGCGGGCCTGTTGCCATAGGATCCTCAGGTTACTTCGACTGAAGTGACGACTGAGTCGTGCAGCTGCATAGCACGGCGAGTTATGCAGTACTCGTTCCCGTATCTCAGGGAACCGAGGTTACGTTAGTAACGGAGTGTGTTTCCTGTCGGATATCGTTCCTGGGAGCAGTTTTCGGACAGTTTTTCACACTGGCTATTCAGCAGCTCGTGGCATCTTTCAAAATAGGAGCCTCTCATCCCCTCAAGATGTTTCAGAAGATGCTGGGTCTCATGGCCTCTGCATCTCCAGTGCTACAGCTAGGCCTGCTTCGCGTGTGGCCCTTCAGTACTGGCTGAAACCGCTAGTTCCGTCCCATGTCTGGCATTTTCGTATCAAGGTGGACCAGGCCTGCGCGGCAGCTCGGGCCCCTTGAAAAGATTCTCAGTGGATAGAACGGGGTGTGCCCCTGGGAATGGTCTGCAGAAGGACGGTAGTCTCAACAGACGTTTCCAACACAGGTTGGGAGCGCTGTGCGATGGCAAACCGGCTTTTGGCCTCTGGTCGAAAGAGGAAGGATGGCTGCACATCAACTGCCTGGAGATGCTGGCAGTGTGTTTAGGCCCTCGCACCTTCTTGCCAGACCTAAGGGGACACCACGTCCTAGGGCTGTGCAATTAATCGAAAAACAGTTTCGATTTCGATTTTGGCCTCCAATGATTATGAAAATACAGTAATTAAGAAAACGATTATTGCGCCCCATTCCGCCCCCTTTTCCAGCGCTGCGCTTTCGTTCCTCCATAAAAGCCCAATTTTATGTGCAAATCAGTAAAATCATGGAACGTGACTTTTGCAAAATGGGACATGCTTGATTTATAGAAGTATATTTATTCATGTTTTTAAAAGCGTGAAAGAGAACTTGCACTGCTCCTCAGAAAGAAAATACACGCAAAAATGTGTCAAAATGCAGCGCTTCGTGATTATTCATAGAGGTATGGCCTCGTCTTAGGCATGGTCTAGCGGTGTGTCCATTGCAGAAATCTGTGCGGCGGCCGGCTGGGCGTTGCCATCCACATTTGACAGGTTCAATAATCTGGACATACCAGCCTTACAGGCCAGGGTCCTTTCTGCGTAATGGGCTCATTCTTGCCTTAGGGCAATTACCAGTGCTTAGGCTTTGCCTCCCTTCTTACGCTCTTGACCCTCACAGAGTGCCGAGGCTGTAAGGGTCTTCTTGGAACGATTACTCATGGCCGGGCTGACCTCTGCGAGTTTAGCCCTATTGCTTCCTGTGGGGCGTTCCCTACTAAATACTTGGTCTCTCTGGGCCCCTTGTGGTGCTTAAGGCAAGTTCAAGTATGAGTCGTTCCTCTAGCATAACACGGCGGGATTGTACTGGTTCCCCATAGCGTCTTAGCAACGCAGTACGAGTGAAGTATCGACAGGAAACGCACTCGGTTACTAACGTATCCTCGGTTCCCTGAGATACGGGAATGAGTACTGCGTAACTAGCCGTGCTATGCAGCTGCACAACTCAGTCGTCGCTTCATTCGAAGTAACCTGAGGATCCTATGGCAACAGGCCAGATATAGCCAGATGGCCCCGCCCATTCTGGCGGGCTCTGGCAGGCTTCATCGCCATAGGCTTGTGCAGCTCCGCTGCTGAGCCATTGGTTTGATTTTTATATAACTGGTTGTTGATCTGGAAACCAATGGCCGTGCAGTTACACTGCATTATTTAAAAAAGGCTTCAGTCATTGGAGAATAGGAGTTTTCCCCATTAGCGTCTTAGCGATGCAGTACTCGTTCCCGTATCTCAGGGAACCGAGGTTACATTAGTAACCGAGTACGTTTTGTTTGTTAAACTACTTCTTTGCCCCATTTTAACTTTTATTCTACTTAATTTTGTGGTATTTTGGCAATACAAATTCTTAGCTTTTATAGTGCCAATACAGCATGCATAATTAAAATTTAGAACCAGTGACTAACACAGAAATACCAATTTTCATGACATACATTCTCAAAACAATAAAGAATAAGTGAGACAGAGTAATATCGGTCAAGGTTGTCCTGATTCATTCATGTCACTTGCTGTCTAATTATTATGGGATGGCCCATCAGACATGTTGTAAAGAAGGTAATTTTATTAATTTCTTTGTAGCCATGACATTATTATTCAGTGACAGAGGCAGGCCCATGGTTTTGCATGTAATCTCTTGTCACTATTAATTACACTCTCTGCTCCTCACATGAGTGAGAGGGTGTGAAAGGCAAGATTACCTCAAGACAGCACAATCTCCTCTCTGTTTTTCAGTTGTTTTATCACCTTATCCCATTTATTCAGTGGAAAAACATTTAGCACTTTTGTTGCATGCTCACTCCTTGTATTTTGTCTGTGTGATTTAAACAGGGATGCTAGGTGTGGGAAAATTCAGTGCCAAGGAGGTGCCAAAAGGCCAGTGATCGGAACCAATGCGGTGTCCATAGAGACAAACATACCTCTGCAGGAGGGTGGGCGCATTCTGTGCCGCGGAACACATGTGTACCTTGGTGATGATATGCCTGATCCAGGACTGGTATTGGCAGGCACAAAGTGTGCTGAGGGAATGGTATGAGAATAAATCATCACATGATGTATCTGCTTGAGATTATGTCATCAAGAAATTATGCTAGTGGTTTATCAGCCAGGCTGAGATGATATTTGGCAATTTTTATTGCATTTCATTGGCCATTTGGTGTTGGTTTTGCTGATTAACCTCCCCAGTGTATCAGTTTCAATATCCACATGTTATATTATATTATATTTGTCATAATCACCAGCTGGAGTGCCTTTGATAATCACTGGAGGGCACTCCATCCCATACTGTTACTCAGTCTTGGACTTTCCCATAACCCATTGCACATCATGACTGATTGTTTTCACCTGTTGCTCATTACCTCTGCCTATATACATGGCTGCCATTCCAGAGTCTCGTCCCGTCATGACCACCAGCCCAGAGCCTCTCCGCGAGATTGCCGCCAGCCCAGAGCCTCTCTGCAAGATGGCTGCCACGCCAGTGTCTTCAGCCATCATGGACGCCATGCCAGTTTTCCCGGCCTTCACGAACGATGTACTTGAAGCTAGTAAGGCAGTGCCCAGGCAACCGAGACTTATGTACACTGTGGCGGACCCCCCTCTGATGTCGGTGTGAGTGGCAGGCATCCCGGTGACCTCAGCGCTTGCAAGCTCCGTGGCCTCTGCACAGGTTCTCCCACCTTCAGCTGCCCTTCCAGTAATGACGGTCGCC